AGTTGTACCGATAATACACACAAAGAAAATAGCATATGGTGATGCCATCAGAGACTGCAGTGGCCCAGCGGAAGCCAGAGAACACCAAGAGTTGCCAACACACTACCAGAAATTAGAAGAGAGGCATGGATAGGCTGACACAGGTGTCTACTCTCCAGAAATATAAGAAGCATTTCTGCTGCTTAAGCCATTCCACCTGTGGTCATGTGTTATGGCGGTCCTAGAAAAAGAGCACACCTGTGAATCATCACCGGTGTTAGGGATCACTGCACACTTATCCCAACATTGGCTTCTTACCCTTAAGATTGCTGGCCCCAGTTCCATCTATGAACACAGGCTGATGTTTGCCTGGGCTCAGATAGCATGGTCCAAAACCAGTTCAAACCCTTATCTCCTGACCCTAGCTATGCACCTTCCTTTGAACGTTATTACTCTGTAGATGTTTCTAACAACAAAAAGTTGAGACCAAAACAAAGGAGGGAGCTGCTGCTTGAAGGTGCCCCCAATTGTGCAATAGATTGGTTTCTAAAAGAATGCGTTCTTAATCGATTCCTTATCAACTCGATGGTATTTTAAGTGCTCCCAAGGCATTTCCCATTTAAAAGTGCCCTGTGGGGGCTCCTTCTGTATGGCAAAGGGTATTTTCTGCCACGTGAATGATTACCTGCTTCCTTCTAAATGTGTTTGCTTTCCAAGTGTAATTTCCTTTCCTCCAAGACATTCGTGTGCGTGTATGAAAGTAGGCCTGCCTTCAGTCCTCTGCCTCTGCCTTGGCTGGCAGGGGTTGGCAAATGCTTGCCTCTGCCATCCTAGTTAGTGACCGAAATGAAGGCCGCCCACAAGCAGCAGTGCCTTTTAAGCGCACGTGGTATCTGAAATGCCTCCGTCCCAGTTTCCAGCCATTTTGAACATCCTCAACTTAATGACCATTGCTTGCCTAGGAGAAAGGGGAAAGCATCGTTGTGCTAGATGCCCACACTGAGCCACTAGTTACTCCCTAACTATAATGAGCTCCGTAGTAATTGCTATTCCAGACACTTAGGTGTGTGCAAAGCGGCAGGTCCTGCTTTCCTTCTCCGGGTCTGCCTCTAGCTTCCCGTGCAGGAAGAAATCCTCGTGGCCCAGGAGAGAAGAGATGGCTGTGGCTAATAATGTGACAATCGTGTGACTTTAATAATTGTTTCTAGGGGCAACGGAAATGGTTCTGAGGTTAAGAACACTTGCCTGGGTTCGGTTCTCAGCACAAACATCACAGCTATTAAATGCCTGTAATGCCACTTCTCAGGGATCAGATGCCCTCTTCTGGCCTCCTTGGGTACCAGGCATTCACGTGGTGTACGTACATACATGCAGACAAAACATCTCTGTACATAATAAATCTAAATCTTTAATAACAGTTAACATTGTGGAATGAAAGGTACCGATGTTTTCATGGTTCTCTCTTGCTGTTGTTTTTGTTGCTGATTAATTTTATTTTATTTTTTTTTTTTTTTGATTTTTAAAGACAGGGTTTCTCTGTGGTTTTGGAGCCTGTCCTGGAGCTAGCTCTGTAGACCAGGCTGGTCTCGAACTCACAGAGATCCACCTGCCTCTGCCTCCCGAGTGCTGGGATTAAAGGCGTGCGCCACCATCGCCCGGCTGCTGATTAATTTTATAAACACCTGTAGAAACCCCAAATGTCAGGCACACAAAGGTGAAGAGGACTCTGGCTCTGTGTCTCACGTGTTCTGTCTCCGCTGAGAAGATAAGTATGTAAACAACAATCACAGCAAGGCGGAAGTGCAGTGTTATAGGAAGGCACTTTGGAAACACAACAAGAAGTGCCACGCTTTGCTGGAAATGAAAGAGCATTTCCACAGAGCTGGTGGTATTCTCGTGAAATCTTGCAGAGTGAGTAGGTGTGTGTCAAATGCATGATGTCACACAGGACCTTTCAAGAAGAGACAGTCATGCAGTCTGTGAGGCACTGATGCGAGCCCAGTGTTTGGAGGCTGGTGGGTGGCAGGACACAGGAAATGAGGACGAGTAGGAGATTAGTGGAAAACATTCATGGTGTCAAGACCACAATGCAGCTTGGGCATTCATTTCTCTGCGGAAGGATTTCATCCCAGAGGGGTGTCTTGGTTACTCTTCTATTGTTGTAATAAGACGCTAAAACCAAAACAGCTTGTAGAAGAGTTTATGGAGGCTTACAGTTTGAGAGAGTGAGTCCACGGTCATCATAGTGGGGAGCATGGCAGTATGCAGGCAGGCATGGTGCTGGAGCAGTAGCTGAGAGCTCACACAGCAGAAAAGAGGGAGGGAGGGAGGGGGGGGGGGGGGGAGGGAGGGAGGGACGGAGGGACGGAGGGACGGAGGGACGGAGGGACGGAGGGATCATCATGGGCTTTTGAAACCTTGAAATCCACCCTCAATGACACACCTCCTCCAACAAGACTGCACACCCTAACCCTTCCCAAACAGTTTCACCAACAGGGGACCGAAGATTTAAGTACACAAGGGCCAAGTATTCAAATACGTGGACCATTCTTATTCAAACAGTTACAATAAGGTAAGGACATGATGAAATTCGATATCCTGGGAAATGGTCCAAAATCTATTGGGGCTGAGGGCAGGAAAACTGAACCAGAGACAAATACAATACCGGGACAGCAGCTATGGGGAAGAAGAAAAGGCAAAGGATTTACACAATAGTGGTGATGTAAAATTCTACAAGTTGGTGACTGTGAGATAAGAGAAAGAAAGATCTTGGAAGATCACACATCTCTGGCCTCAGCATACACGTGTCCTTAAGGAGGAAGAAAGAGAGAGGTGACACAGCCAAGCACTAAGCTAATGGGACAGACTTCCAGAGGCCAGAGCATTCAGAAACTGCTGAGGGGATTTTTAGGAGTGAGATCCCCACTCACTCCTACCTGCAGGTTTGGGATCTGCTCGCTCATTCTGACCAGCTACTACTCAGAGCTCTTACTTTTGGCCAGAGTAGAAATTAGCTTGATTTGCAGCCAATGGCCAAAGGAAGCAGTTGAGAACTGTATCTGTCAGGGCCTCAGTTCCACACAGCCGAATGTTCTGGCTACTTTAGTCAAGGAAGAAAAGAAATCATTAAAATATGTGATTGGCTGATATAAATCACCCAGAAGGCCAGGCTTGGAAGCATCATGGTTAGGGATGACACTTGGACCACACTGGGCCACTGATATTGGGCTCTGGAAGCCTAAAATTCTGCCTTCAATGCTCACAGGTCATGCTGATTGATCAGAAAATCATGTTGATTGATCAAAAAACTCAAACTGATTGATCAGAAAATAGTCTCCATCCTCATTTCCTCCCTTGCCTTTTTCCCCACCAAACTCTCCCATCAATGAATGTAATTGGTAGAACTTGAATCTACAGATATTTTCAGAGCTGAAAATGCAAGAATCTGATTTTTTTTCCCTTGGGGAAGTGAGATTTACAAGTGGGAAAATAAATATTGCTTCAGAGGGTTACTGTGAAAGACAAAGCTAGAACTAAGAACCCCCTGTCCCTAGAACTTGGGAGCTGGGATAATTGAAAATGTTACAACTTCATTCTTTGTAGGATAAGTCTCCCCAGATTGGAGAACTCACTGTAGCACGTGAAGTATTATCAATTTTATGCAGTACGTTGTTGGCACATACAGCCAGCACAGCCTCTGAGCATGTGGTCCTCTCCAAGGCCACGGCAATATGAAACTTACGCATTCAGAGAGTACGGACTGTACGCCTATTGTGTCCCCTGACCTATATGTGGCATTAAAGTCAATTGGGCTGAAGTATTGGGGACATCTGTGCCCATATCATTCCGTGTCATGTTCACAGAGATGACACCTGGAGTCCGTCATGGCTGTGACAATCTGTCATTGTTAGAGAAGCAATTACAGTTTGCCATGACACAAAGACCTTCACGGTCACTCGGGGATGCGAGAGCTTGCTTGGCAGGTGCAGCCGGACACCCCCTTTCTACATCTTCCAGTCAGCTACTCCAGACTGCCTCAGTAAAAAGAGACCACGAAGGAGTGGCATGAGGTCCAAGGAGAAATAGAGTACGATCTTCTAGGTCATTTGGCCAGATTCCTCAAATTAGAAACCCAAGCCTGGGAGAGAGCTTTACCTCATGATAATCATTCCCATCTTTTCCCTCTGAGAGCAGTCACTGGGGACACTCGGCCCCTTGGACTCTCCATCCCTCTGCAGCACAGGTAGATTCCTGGTCCTTATTCCCCAGGTCCCAGAGTCTCTCCATGCCTGAAAAATCTGAATCATCCCGAAGAAAGAAAGCCATCTTGCTGCAGAATGAAGCGTCATTCTAAGAGGCATTTGTGAGTCCTGGCAAAATGGCTTCTTGTCTGAGTCACGGGTTAATGTTTAGGTGAGGAGAGGCCTCCTGAGCTTGGGTCTGTTTCCCTGGAAACATGGGCAGAAGTGGTTTTCACAGAAACCAGGCAAACACACGATGATCAGGGGGTCCACGCGCACTTGGTTCCCTACAACTCCGAGTAAGGTAGTGCTGCCGCTTCCAGCGGAGCCAACACTCTCCTGCCTGGCTCTACACAAGCTTTCAGCAGGGCCCAGTGTGTACTTCTGGCATGAGGCAGTCGGAGCTGAGTGAGCACAGTTCAGGCACGTTGGAGGTATCTTAATGCTCCCCACCTACTCTAGGCCTCCACAGTTTCATTTCTTACAGCCACGGCCTTGTTCTTTCGAATTTGACACTCTTTTAAAAGGAGGTCCTTTAGTAATCTTGCCCTAAGATGTTTTATATCAGCATCTGCTTCCAGTAAGGTGGACTAAAGATGACCCAAATCATCACCCTTAAGAAACAACAAAACTGAACACAGTCTATTGTTGAAAAAGTTTTTTTTCAAGCATTATACAATTTTCAAAAAAGGAAGGAGGAACAAAATAAGTGAGCACTAAATACATCTTATGTCCAGGCCTGGAAAGTTGATTGGAGATCTCCTGTGTAAAGGGATTTACCTGAACTGAAGAGGTGGAGTCCTGTGTTTAAGAAGCCCAAAGCAGCAAGATTTCATTGAGCAAGCTGTCAGAGAGAACAGATGGTTTAGAGTTTGTGTCTAGAATGTTCCTCAAAGGCCTATATTTACAAAGGGGTCATCGGGGCTTCACTCAGCCCCTTCCTCCCTTCCCCTCCACTTTCTGGCTACCATGAGCTCAGTGGCTACACTCTCCCCGCCATGGTGTTCTGTCTTGCTCCAGGCCCAAAAGCAATGGAACCAAAAGACTGTGGCCTTAGAGCGAAAGCAAATCCTTCCTCATCGTAAGTGGTTTATCTCAAGCTTTTTCGTTATAGTGACAGGTGACTGACTAACAATTTACTTGCTCAGTGAGAGACCTGTGGAGATCGACAAAGGACTTCGCCTGGATAGGTGACTGAATACAGTTGCTCCATGGTCTCCATGGTGAATTGGTTCCAGGAAACCCCACAGACACCAACATCTAAGAATGCTTGATATTGTAAAATAGCATAGTTCACGTGAGTGTAGCCTACACAATGCTCCGATCAGCTTAGCTCATTACTAGGCCACTTACAATATTGCAACCCAATTGCTGTGTGAATCACTGTTACGTTGAATTGTTTAAGGAGCAGTGAGAGGGGAACAAAAGATCACTACCAAATTTAATATAAATACAATTTTTTTTAAAAATATGCTCTGTACAAGGCTAAGTAAATCTGTAGACATGGAACCGAAGGATACAGAGAGCCACCTGTGCTGATTAGCACTTGTGGATGAGAAAACCACCCGAGGCAGGAGAAAGGCCCAAACAGGGTAAAAAAAATTCCTGAAGCCGGGCGATGGTGGCGCACGCCTTTAATCCCAGCACTCGGGAGGCAGAGGCAGGTGGATCTCTGTGAGTTCAAGACCAGCCTGGTCTACAGAGCTAGTGCCAGGACAGGCTCCAAAGCCACAGAGAAACCCTGTCTTGAAAAAAAAAATTCCTGAAGCTCCCCCAGGACTGGGACTCATTTATATTTCAAACAGAGCAGAGAACCCTACAAAGCACGGGCTATAAGGAACGCTATTCAAGAGAACATTGCCAAATTAGCCCTATGTTGAATGTTGACTGGTTTCAACCAAATCAGAAAGCGAGCCTCAAAAGGATCATCACACTATTCGATCCCTAACAACTGCTTAGAACATACCACAGGGGCACGAAAGGAGCACAAAGCTTCAGCACCCACCCAATAACCTGAAATATAATGTGTTGGACACTCAGTGAAAAGTTGTCAGACATACAAACTGCAAACGACCATCCACAGGGGAAACATCCATCAACAGAGACAGACCTGGAAATAGTATGGATGGCAAAATCATGAGACAAGGACCATGATACTCCTATGATAATTATTCCCCCGCCTGGTAAAGTGGGTAACCGAAATCATGAGCTCGGAAAAGAGAGCCATGAACCAGTTTTTACAATACAACTGGGTATGACGGTGCACACTTAGAATTCCAGCTAATCAGGAGGCTGGGGAAGAAGGAGAACAAACTCAAGGATAGCTTGCACAATTTAACAAGACCCTGTCTCAAATTCAAGTTTTCTTTTTAATCCTACAGATATTGAAGAAATCACATTTGAAACAAAACTTTCCAGAAAGAAAACTCCAGGCCCAGTAACTTCTCTGGCTAATGCTATCAGTTCTATACAATACAAACACTTTCAAAAATTGAAAATTAATAAAGCAGGCAGAATAATGGTCTCTTCTGGATGCCCATGTTGTGGTCCCTGGAAGTTATGGCTAAGGATGTTGAGTATTTCCTTAAGTGTCTTTTAGTCATTTGAGATTTGTCTGTTGAGAGTTCTCTGTTTAGGTCTGTTGGGGTTTGAAGAACTCAAGCTCACTACAGCCTAGGCTGAAATCAGGGTATAGCCCAGGCTGGCCCAAAACTAGTTGTCCTCCTTCTTCAGCCTCTCCAGTGCTAGCTTATAGACACACACTACCACATCTAGCGTGTTTTCATTGTTTGAAGCCATTAAATTTGTGATAATCTATTATAAGCAATAGTACAAATCTAATACTTGGGAAGGACATTTCCAACTTATTCCACGGGGCCAGCACTATCTTAACAGCCCAAACAAACCATAACATTACCGTAAAGAAACCCACAAAACCATTACCAAATTAGCAAGCCCATTCTAACAATATAGGTGAGGACGAGTCATCGTGACTAAGTGCAATTTATCCCAGGAAGGCTATGATGTGTTCAAACCCCAGTGCTTTCCCGTGTCCCAAATTCCTCTAATGGGTTTGACATCCAACAGCATCAGATGTCACCCTTATCTTTCCCCACTCTGCCCTCAACTCAGGCTTCACCCAGAGTCGCTATCTCTGCCACAGCAGTCTTCTCTTACCTTTTCTTAGGAACATCTCTTACTGATCTGCAGCAGATATGCCCCGGGGCTCCTCCCCACCTCCCCGATCTTTCTACCACACTCTATTAGGACTTCTCTACTATGGCATCAATTTCTATTAACTGTTCTTTTTTCTAGACAATGAACTCCAACAAGACGAAAGTGTTACTCAAGGCTTCTTTGACACTAAATGGCTAGCACAGTGCCTGGCGTATGGTAGGTTCTTCATATGCATTTATTGATTTGTATCTATTGAATAATTGGTAATTTCTACAGATAAAATCCAGTGTCCTGAAGGCACAGAGAGGACTAATTCAAAAGAAATAAACGGTCCTCCCTGGAGACTAGAAGGGTTCCAAAACCAAACATGTCACCTTCTCACTCAAAAATACATCCCATAGTTTGCCTAAGTTCATAGGCTCACCATGCCAAATTATTTATAACATTCCATTCTGTCTGAGACTCTAGGGAGGGTGTGGTCAAGTCTATTTCTCTGGTGAGAAAACTGAGGCCCAGGAAGGAAGAAATATCTGCCTAAGAGTCTGATGTGGGATGCAGCAGAGCTGTACCCATCTCCAGCAGGCTCATTCACTGGTCCTCCACTCTGTCTGCTCCTTCTGGCATGCGCTGCAGCCCCACCCCTACCTACAGAGAACAGAAATTAAAAGGACTTTTGCACTTGCCTTGGGCTCTGTGCGTTCCATCTCTATTTCTGTTCTCTGCCCTCTGCATGACTTTTGCAACAATTGAACTGCTGCAAGTCTACTCAGCCCATAACAACCCCAGTTAACCCTTTGGTTCCTAGACTTTCTGGACATTGCTTTTACTTTCAGGCAAGCAGGTTACCTCTTTTATTCCCTTCCTTAAGTGCTAATTTAAAGAAAATGAAAATGAGTATCTGAATTAAAATTGATTAGGTACAACTCAACAGGCCAACTACCCCTGAGTCTTTCCTGATTCACACATCCTAGCCACTCTCTCAGCTCAAGACACAGCCCACAATGTCTACCATAATCATGCTATCCACCTCAGTGATGGTCGGGAATCACCGATCCTGTCCAGTGTTCCTGAGTGGTCGATCCCCTCTGTTCTTGTTTGATGTGTGTCTCATTGTGCCAGTTCCCTCATCCAACCTTTATTCTTTAATGTTTCTGCTCTTTGATTTTTACCTTTACTCAAATGCCCCATTGCTTCCATGTCACTGTGAAGAGAAGTCTTCTTCCTTTTCTGCCTCTATTTCTCACCCTGAGAACTGTCTGTGGGTTCTGTTATTCGGGCCCCATCACTCCGTCTAGAAAATGATCTGCATTTCCTCCCACTGATTACTTATTTTCTCATTTGTTTGATGCCATATTGTAATTTCCTCCTTTACAGCCATCAAATTGTTCAATCTCTTTAGACCTCTGCCAAATTCCTCAGATCTGCTTTTTATTTCCTCAGACTAGTACTACAGCATCTTCAGAGAGATGCTTTCCTGGTGGGTGGTCCTTGATCCCCAACAACCATGAAGAACAAAGGAACACCTTTGTATATTACAGTGCAAAACAGAAAATTGAGTCCTGTATTAGTCAGGGTTTCCTAGGGGGATGGAAGTGATATAATATAAAATACATATGAAGAATTTATTAGACTGACTTACAAGGTATGGTCTGGGTAGTCCACCAATGGCTGTCTCAGGTTGGAAAGACCAGGAATGAACTGCTCATTCCATGAAGCTGGACACCTCTTAAGTCCTAATTTGGCACTAAAGGCCTGGAAGGTTCCTGGATTGTCAGTGGGCTTCAGTTTATTTTAATATCTCCCCCCCAAAAAAAATAGTGTTAGTATTGGTGAATGAATTCCACAGCAACGAGACAAATGAATTTGCCAGTGGGAGTGAGGGCCAAAAATCAGAAAGCAAAAAGCAAAGCTTCCTTCCTTCATGCCTTTCTATCTAGAAAGATCATAGAAGGTACCTCCCACATGTAGGGTGGCATTCCTGCTTCAGATAACATGATCAAGAAAATCCCTCTTGGGGGCTCCCCAAAGCTGTGTTTCAGGTGATTTCAGATGCATTCGGTTGACAGGCAGGATTAACCATCACTAGCACCCAAGTCTGGGGACATGCAGACTGTGCATTAAAGCCCCTTAAAATGGTGACACGAGACACTTATAAAGCCTTCCACATGTGTCATATGTATAAAGAAGCCACAGAAAGAAATTATCCCAAGGCGGTTGCCTGCGGTAATGAAGGTACTCACTCCAAGAGTAAGTGCTTGTCAAGAAGTCTGCTTTTGTGCTGTGTTTTGTACTTCCCCCGTTTTGTGTGTCTCCCTTCACCTTGAGGAAGAATTGCGCTGGCTCAAGTGCCCAACACAAGCCCACAGAAAACCCATTCCCCTTTGTAAGATTTCTGTCCCTGTTAGGGAACTTCAATTCTCCAGTCTTCTCTGAATTTGTCTTCATGTCACTTCTCAACACTTGAACTCTACTGTCAGTCATAATTGTTCCTGCATCTTTATCCTAGAATTGAAATCGATTCAGACATGAACTCAATCTTATTCTTTAAGCTAGAGGGCAGGAGGAAGAAAGAGAAGGGGAAGCACTTTTTAGTGTAAGGAATATTGGTTCAAATTTGGAGAAACAGAGTAGCCCGTGTGTGTGTGTGTGTGTGTGTGTGTGTGTGTGTGTGTGTGTGTGTGTCTAAATAAACCTCTTAAAACCGAGCCTCAGGACTTCTTTGCAAGGGATAGATTTCCCCATTCATTTTGGGAGAAGCTATATTTGGATCTTAACTGTCCCTTCAAAGGCCAAAATCTTGAGTCCCTGATTTTACTCCAAGTTACCCTGCTGATATGTCATGCTGCTTTGCCACAAACCAAAAGCAACAGGCTCACCAATCCTGAGTCGAAGTAAACCTTTTTGTAAACTGATGACCCTCAGTATTTGTTACAATACTGGTGACCTCTCCTTTGTTTTCTTGCTCTGTTCCTGTCCCACTCTCAAAATTCATGTTCATTCATCTGGGAACCCTTAGTAGCCGCTTAAAGAAACTAAAACAAACAAACCTGGGTCTTAAATTCTCTGCAACAACCGAAGTGAATGCGGGTGTGCTGTGGGTGAGAAAAGGCAACACCCCTGGAAGAGTTGGGGCCCTCAGCAGGATACTAACTAGCTGTCAAGGCATTTCCCATGACAAAATGGGGCGGAGGGGTGGGGTCCAGAGACAGCCATGAAGATGGCTATTTTTAACTGTGAGTACAAACGGGGGGAACTGAGGTGTCCAAAGGAGTTCATGTCACCACTGATTCTTTTTTTTTTTGCATTTATTGAGGTTTTTTATTTATTAATTAAAATTTTCCACCTATTCCCATCCTCCCATTTCCCTCCCACTTCCCCCCTCCCCCTCCCCCTCACTCTCCAGTCCTAAGAGAAGTCAGGGTGTGATCATATTGGACTGTCTGAATGTGGCTGACAATGAGGGCTGACTGAGAAGCCAATGATAATGACACCAGATTTGGATTCTACTGCATGTACTGGCTTTTGGGAGCCTAATCTGTTTGGATGCATACCTTCCTAGACCTGGATGGGGGGGGGGAGGGCCTTGGACTTTACCCCTGATTCTTTGTTAACTGAAAGACACAAAGCCTCTGAGACACCATTTTCCATTACTGTTCCTGGTGCTGGGCTGCGGTCCTATTTTAAGATACAATCAATTGTGTTTCGAACATTTTAGGGAAACAGCATGGACTTCTCCATGCAGCTCCACGGGAGGTCTGTGAAATAGAATTGCAATGTGTGACCTGCGCAGGGTTTGTCTCGTGTCAGTACAGGATTCTGAGCGTTCTCTTCACTTTCCTCAGGAAGTGTGAACACTAATGATATTTCGCCTCCACTGTAGATGATAGTTATTGAACTGATTCAGATAAAATTAGTTTCTATTCCGGTAAATACAATCCTTAATTTAAAGAGAATCTCGGGTTTTCTCTTTTCCCTTCTGTATATTTTTTCTCTACACTGCTCATTCCCTTCATTATAATGTGATTGGGGTTTTCTTTCTGTTCATAAACCAATAGTTTGCAGCAGTAATAAAATATAATTACAAACACCAATGGTAAAGGTTCACAAAAATTGCCACCTTTATGTTGTATTTACTTAGCCTAGACTGAGGTCCTTGAGGGGCTTTTTATTTTTTCCTAACAGCGTCTCACGATATAGCCTAGGCTGTCCTCAGACTGGCGACTATTTACCCATCATTGTTATAAAAGCTAGAGAAGCAATAGAAGATTTTTAAAAAAATGTCTCTACCATTACAGAGCTTCTAACTTTGCAAGAAAGATAAGTCATAATTAAATAATCAAGCCAGAGGCTGCTGAGGTGAGGAAGAGATGTGGGACCATCAGGAGCTCACCACGGTGATTCCCAGCTGGGTATAGGAAATTAAAATGGGTGTGGCATCGGTGGGTTGAGCTTCAAAGGTTGAGTTAGCTAAGTGAAGGGCAGAGGCTGGAGGTCAGAGATTGGAAAGGACAAGAAGGAAAAAGTTATAAAACTACATGGAACTGTGCCTCTCTTTCCCTATGCTTTATCTAGCCCCTTGCCTGCCTGTCTGCAGGCCATCGCAGCCAGATTGGAATCTGTCTCCCTTTTTAACAGTTTCAGAGACAATTCCTCAACTCTTGGTAGTCTGTTCTTCAGTTTCTGGAAATTCCTGCCAAGGTTCACAAGAAGATAGGCCTTTGTGACCCGTAATTTCTAAAAGGCATGCTTGACAATGAGCAATGACTCAATCAATAGGAAAAGTAAAGTCAGAGATCTCCCCCTTGGGAAAAGTCAAGAGCACAGGTCACTGCAGCTGAGGAACCCAAGCTGGAATCCCTCGGAGCATGCTGGAGGGCCCCAGCTAGGGAACTGAGGACCTCTGTCCTACCCGCAACATCACAAGCTTGGGCTACAAAGGAGCATTTGTGTGCCGCACCCAGAGAAGGAGCTCCGATGAAGTTATGCATAAGGAGTGATTGTTGTCAAAGTCTTGTCGCTGGAGTTTTTCCAAGATTGGGTACCCAGAATTGATAACCTTTCCGACTACGTACAGTGCTCAAAGATAAAGGGCAGCAATTAGCATCAGGCGATCCTACTGAAAACCCAGTGGGATGAGAAAGAATCAGGACCCAAAGGCATCCTTACTGTAGGTAATAGAGCTTGCAGAGGTTGTCGGGAAGGGATAGGAAATAAGGTTTCATCGTATTTCCAAGAACAGATTTAGTTTGTAAATGCTGACTGAATACCAGACACTGAACTGGGTGGCAGAGTATGAGGGCACGTTCTCCTAAAGAGGAGACTGCCTGCTTCAAAAGATAGTGTGAGCAAACACCGTGAAGGCCGCCAGCAAAGGCAGGGGTGTGGCGCTGCCGGAGGCAAGGGAGACTCGTGTGCAAACACCGAAGGAGAAACCCAAGAGGGCCTGGGTGTAGTGCAGAAGCAGGGCACTTGCCTAGAATTCTGTGGTCCTAGGGTAGATCCCCAACAGCAGAAAGGGGAGAGGGAAACTTCACAGCAGAGCCTCACAGAGAAGCTGTTGAACCTGTGAGCGCTTCGTCTGCGCTACTGGCACAGGTGCGCTGCCACTTCACGACCAGCAGCTGGGAGAGGGGAACGTTCCCCACTGGATGTCCTGAAAGGTCCACGTCGTGAAGTAATTTGCTGAGACATAAATTCGAATGGGCTTCCAGGAGGCTAAGGAGTCCCTGCCGGGCACATGTGCAGTGTGTGGACCTCACTGAACACCTGGCATTTGTGTCCCCATACAGTTCACTTATGCTCTTCTTGGACATTTGCACAGTAAGTTGCACACTGAGTCTTTTTTTTTTCTTGCAGACTCAGTTAATGATGCGGTTGATAAGGTAACGATACAATGTAATGAAATAAGTTTATTTGAAATTGCAATTTTTATTTAAATACCTTTAGAAAATATCATAATCCCATATTTATAGAACCAGTAAGAGTCTGAAAGGACTCCTTACATTTTATGACTACAGCTTACTGTATTTACGGTTGAAAGTGTATGTCATGATGACATTCATGATTCTGGAAACGCACCAAGGTCACGGGTGAGTGCTTCCAGAGAGTCCCGGATCAAAGTCTGCAGATAATAGATTTTATTGGCACTCTACTAGACACAATAAAGTCTTAGTTTGGGTTTTGAAAATAAAAAGATTCCCCCTTACTCAGTTTTTCTACAAGTTGAAGACAGCTAACATGCCCTTCCCATCTATGGCATCTTGGCTTGTGCTGCCAGAAGACAATGGAGACATTTATCCGCACAACCACAGACCGACAAATTATTCAAATGAGAATGATAACCTGATTCTCCAGCTGCATGTTTTCCTCTGAGTCTGTTTCCTAGAAGGGAATAACCACTGAAGCGCCAACTCTGGCTCCCTCCCCCAAACAGGCTCTGGAGCACCTCCAACCTAACATGATTTGACTCAACCCCCCACCCCCACCCCAATACTCCTACCTTTGTCTTCTGATCACGTGCCTGATTGCCAAAGCTGGAAAACCCAATAGGTGGCCCAGACCTCTCTCTAACACTAATCAATCACTGAGTAATCAAATTTTCCTCCTAATGACTCTCAGATGCAGCCAGGCCTCTGCAGCCCCATAGCTCTCCCCTAACTCCAGGCCAAATCATCTGTCATCACAGATCTTGAAATCTTGCCTGGATCTAGTCTCCACAGTGATACAGAGTCGTCATCCCCGCCCCGCCCTGCCCAAAACTGTGAACTTGCTCTCATCGGCTCCTTCTGAAGATCAATAACCGGCTTGGGGACAGAGATGTGACGCCCACTGCCCACACGTAACACTGAGAAATACATGGACTACCAGCCGCTCCTCCCCAAGTGCGTCCAGGTTCTCTCACATCTCTGTGTTTGCTCTTGACACTCTCTTCTCTGTCTCCCCTCACACTGAGCTCTTCTTGGCCAGCCTCCATCAGTCCTTCAGGAGCAAATTCAATTGTCATTTTTGAGTAGAGCTGTCTACAAATCTCAGAGGCTCTCCTGTCTGCTCTCCCCCCCCCCCCGTGGCACTGGGTATATGTTCTTATTACAGCAGCCTCACAGATGACTTTAACTTGTTAGCAGATTTACCATCTCGAGTGAACCATGGGCTTTCCTTCAGCTCCAAGTCTCTAGTACCTAGCACAATACTTGGCTTCCACCAAGCACCAGGAAGTGTTTGCTGAATAAAAGGACCAGTGATTGAGGTCACATCAGAAAATGGACCGTGTCACCAAAGAAGAAAACAAAGCGACCCAAAGTGTCAGAAAAGCTAAGACGAGGATGAAGGCTGCTTTCAGATCTCGGGCAACTTTTACATTACTCATCATATCCTGTCCTAACCAAGGGCTAACCCCCAGCAGGCTCACGGGGTTTGTTAGAGGAGCTCACTTGAGTACCAGATCCAGGAATGTGCAATGATCATGAAAGAGAAGAAAAAAAGCGGAAAGAAGCTGCTGGTTCTAAACGATGTGAGAAGATGCACAGTAAAATAGATAGATAGATAGATAGATAGATAGATAGATAGATAGATAGATAGATAGTCTTCCTCTGACGCCTGAGATCACAGTGACCATGTATTGGTCACTATGCAACTTCCAAAGAAGCAAAGACAAGAAAGGATCCCTGAGACTCCCAGCTTTCTGTGTCCTGAATGGTTTACTAGTCTTTAATCCTCCCGGTTCCATACTGTCCGGAACTTCCCCTTGTATGTAACAGGCCTTAGGTAACATTAGGAAGTCAGCTAAACATTCTGATCTAGCTAAATGATCATGCTAAGCACAACCTGTCTTGGGATGGGAGACATTGAAAAGACAATGTTTCCCAAGGAGCCTCAATCCCTGGTGTGTGTTGTTCTGATGAAAGAGTATGTTAGGGGGTGTGGAGAGGTTGGATGAAAGCAGGCCACGAGGAAGCTGAGCTTGTGCTTTGACTAACACTGGCATTTGGGTGATTTTGTGTCTGCCTCCAGCGGGATTTCTCAGGTACCCACTCTCAATACAATGGGGCGAAGAAAAGCTTCTCCTAGACTCTAGTAACTAGAGGGAAAGGCGGACCAGGAAAAGGGGTAAATACATTTAGTGCCACTGCTGGAGCCCACACTTCAGCCTTTCTCCGGATAGGATACTGGAGGAGGTCACGCCCAACTATAGCAAACTGTATCACAAATAAATCTCAGATAAAGCTGATTCTCCAGCCCCTCAGCTGCCTCAACCGTTGTCTCCTCCAGGAGTCCCTAACCCGGCTGTGCTTCCCACAGATTTCTGAACAGAGGCGCCGCGCCCTCTCGGCCCCACCCAACACATAGGGTCCCGTGTCTGCACCCCACTACCACTCGCGGGGCGCCACCTATAGGGGTCCCCGCCCCGCTCAGCCCCACGTGCTGGGCCCCGCCCGGGAGCTAGCGGCCCTTTAAACACCCCCACCCTTGCACACTACCCCCCCCCCAACCCGGACGGCAGCCGAAGAGGGACAAACTCATGGCGTACAGCCAGTCCCTTCCGCGGAGCGCGTCCCCCGCAACCCTAGCCCGCCGGGCTCTCCACCCAGGGCTACGACGCCCTGGCGGCCCCCACGCCCCCGAAGCCGGGTGCAGGAGTGTGGGCGCTGTCCGACTCCCGGGAGGGGCGGAGGGAGCGCGGTCTCGGCCGCCGCCGCCTGCCTCCGCCTGCCGCTCGGGCCGCCCGCTCGCCCGCCGCTGGGTGCGCTGCACGCGGGGGGCAGCCGCGGTGCAGAGGTTCATGCAGCGGCGGCGGCGGCGGCGGCTGCTGCTGCTGCCGCCGCGGAAACAGACAGACCGGGCGCTGCCGCCGCCACCCTCTCGCAGCTCCATGCCGCCGCCGCCACCGCCGCCTCCTCTCCGGCGAAGGGCGGGGGGCTCCGGCCCGGGGTGGGCAGCACTCCTCGCAGCGCCGCTCCCCTCCCTGCCCTCCGCCGGGGCGCGGGAGCCGGCGAGAGCGCCCGCCGCCTCCTAGGAGCGCAAGCTCCGCGCGCCCTTGCTAGAGCGAGGAGGCGGGCGTGGGCGGGCGTCGGGGCAGCCGCGACCCAGCGCGCGGAAAGGGGAGGGGGCTTCCCCGGAGGATGCCCCGCGGCGGCGGCGGCTCCTCGCTCTTAGGCGCTAGCTGAGCTGGACCGGGAGCGAGCGGCGCGTCGCCATGCCGGCGTGACGGGCGCCCGCGGCTGCCCGCGCCGGGCCCCCGCGCTGCCCCACGCCGCGCCGCGCCGGCGCCGGGCGGCAGGATGGGCTGTATCCAAAGCATCACCTGCAAGGCGCGGATCCGGCGCGAGAACATCGTGGTGTATGATGTGTGCGCCACCATCGACCAGTGCCCCACGCGCATCGAGGAGACCTCGCCCATCGTCCTGCGATACAAGACCCCTTACTTCAAAGCCTCGGCCCGCGTGGTCATGCCCCCCATCCCCCGCCACGAGACCTGGGTGGTGGGCTGGATCCAGGCGTGCAACCAGATGGAGTTCTTCAACACCTACAGCGACCTCGGCATGTAAGCGACCGGCCACGCCACGCGGCGCGGGGAGCGGGGTCCTGGCCCCTCTCTCAGCTCTCCATTCCGGCCCCCTCCCCAGCCCCTCTTATCGTTGTCCCCATCTCTCTCTGAACCTTCCTCTCGCCTCCCCACCCACCTCCCTCCTTCCTGCGCTTTTGTTTCAGTGACAGGGCGGGTGACGGGAGGCTCCTAGCAAAGGCATTTTCTCGTTCTTTGCTTCTGACTTCCTCAGAAAGGCGAGGAGGATAGTGAGGGGCAGGAAGAACGCAACTGGGAGGGTTCGAGAGGCAAAGATGGGGTGGTTGGCGAGTGTCGTGGGAGTTTGGGGGACACAGTTTGTGCTTGTGGGTCTCCCCTGGAAGAGTTTGGGGAGAGGAGTGGAGTGCCTGGGGCGCATGGTCTGTGTCGTGCGTCCTTTGGAGAAAATCTAGCGGGCTTGAAAGAGAAGGTACAGGGTGTCCGAGTGGGAGTTAGAGATTCTGCCATCGCCCCCCAGGCCAGGGAGCATGGCTGTATCTTGGTCTGGAACCTCCAGCCCGGCAGAGAGCCTCTCTGGCGATGCGCCCCAAGGACCAATTCTGGGGCGGTGGGAAGCTGGAAGGCTCCCGGGCCAGGCGGAACTGGTGGCCTTGTGCTAGCAGCCGGTTGGTGTGGCACGAGATGTTTCTTAGGCTCAAGGAAAGATTGAGTCCCTTCAACTGTCTGGGGTCTTTACTTTTCAAAACTTTCCTAATTGCAGCGCTGGTAGGGATTCCCAGGCGCCCACCGCCGAATCCAGTCAGCTGGCTGGGAGCTCTCCAACTTCCTTCAGCAGCGCTGGTTGGTGCGCGCTGAGGGTTTGTCAGCTGCGGGTGCACCTAGATCGCCTGGGCTCTGCCGCCACCAGGGGCAGACATCCTGCCCTGGAACCGCAGGCTTTGGGAGGTCGCGTTCTGGACTTTTTTACTTACTAAATTTTCGTCTGCCCTCCAGTCCCTTTTCAGAACGAGACTCCGTGCACTTGGCGACCATAGGTGGCTAGGAGATTTGGGGCCTGCATTCTGCCTCCTATTACAGCGTCAGTCTAGAACACCCTAATTATCAGATTGTAGCCTTTAGGGAAACCCCTTTTCTGGAAATCCAACCTCATTTCACTTTTTAAATCTAAAATTATGGTGCTTTCAAGATTTACCTATTTAAAATGGATATGGGATGGGGGAGTTCGCGTTTTAAAAGGTCAAATCATCTTTTTAGCAGCCGTCTTGGGGCTTTTTCTTGCACTCTCAGAGCATGTAAGTTAACACTAGTCATAGGTGCTAAAAGGAATTTTGACAGATCGTTTTGTTTCCTTTTCCTCCCAGAGTTTGCACTTTGCTCTTTAAGCATAAAAGCTCAGTGGAGAATACTGGTTGGTGGTGAAGAAATGTGAACCCTGTTTTGCAGTATGCCTAAGCACACTGTGTTCTTGACTCTCCGGAAGTGAGAGAAATGGGGGACATATTATTTTGGGTGAATCATTCCATCCAAAAAGACACAACCTGAAAAGAGTGGGTTTTTTTTTCTTTACACGTGTGTGTTAGAACTGTTTGTTTTGCTTCGGCCCGTTTGAAACTCACTCTTTTCACCCAAGTAAGAGAAAACCTGGCTAGGGAAGAGGGAATCTATCTGATGGCCCTGGCCTCACCCTGATTGTGGGGGGTGGGGCAGTAATCTTTCTGGAACCAGTCACAAAGCGTGAATCCCTTAGTAAAGGGAGCATGGAGGAACTGAGCAGGAACAGCCCCACATTTCCCATGACTACGCAGGAGCGACCTCTGTGGCCTCAAGTCCCTTGTAAATCAGTAAATACAAAGCATATATATAATATACATATATGCTAATTCCTTCTATAAAATATATCCTGCCAAAGAAGTCAAGTTGAGCTGTAAACATATGATAGCAGAACTTCCTTCTGTCTAGGGGAGGGTGTGTCTACCTTGGAATCAGTTTGCACAGGCATGAATTCCTTACAATATAGTACCTTGACATACCCTACTGAATTCTTACATTTGGGTTTGGAACAATTTTGCTCGTTTCATTTAACTTCTACTTTCGATATTTTTAAGATTTCTGGCTTCTGTGTTGTTTTTACAGGGAAGCAAGAACAGTCCCCAAGAAGTCATAAATTGTATTATTATAGATTTGTATCCAGAGTCAACCGATCTCTTTGTGGTTGTAATAATTGCTATGTGTTTAGGGCCACTTTGGAGCCTAGATGTTACTGAACCAGTTTCTACAGAATATTTAGGCACCGAAAACTTTGCCAATGTAAACTTTTTAATGGGAGCTCGTGTGGCACAGAAGTCACTGTCGCCTGCTGGTTGGTTGCCCTGACTGCTTTCCACCAGTGCTATGAGCGGCAGACACTGCAGGCTGGATTTTCACTCCAGTCCAGCGTTCTGTCACAGAAGCACGGCCCAGCGAAGTTTGTGTTAGAAGGGTGCCCTTTTGAGATTTTGGAAAGAATTGTCCAGTACGAAACCCACAGCTAAAACAGCAAGAAATGGCTGGTTCCAGGATTGAAAGAGAACATGGCTTTGTGCTGTAAATGTTGAACTTCCTCCAGGGAGGGAGAGCATAGAATTAGGTTTTATTATGGCATTTTTCAAACAAAATTTTTGCCGCTGTTTCTCTTTGCCCCCACCCCTAATCCTCTTCCCTTCCTGTGCCTTTTGACCCCTGTAGCCTCCTTTCTACCTTCCTGTTACATCTGACCTTTTGACCTTTCCCCCTTTTTCTCAATAATTCTTGTTCCCCTCTTGTGGCCTCCTACCTAAGTTTCATAGTCTATAAGAGAGAACATGAGAATTTGGGGAGGGGTTGTAGTTGTTTTGGAGGCTTGTTTTGTTTTGTTTTTGTCTTTCTGAGTCCAGGACACCTTACTTTAAAATGATACTTTGTGAATCCATCCATTTTCTTGCAGATTCCATAATTTTATTTCTCTTAATGGTTAAGTAAAAATTCCACTGGGTGTATGCACCACGTTCTCATTCTCCATCCTTCTGCTGATGGACTTCTGAGCTAGTTCCATTTCCTTCTTCTTGTGAATAATGCAGCAACAGACATGGATATGCAGATATCTCTGTAGCTGTATATAGAATCCGCTGGGTATATGCCTAGGAGTGATGTGGTGGTTCTATGGTATGGTATGGTATGGTATGGTTGGTATGTTGTGGTATTGTTGGTGTGGTATGGTATGGTGTGGTGTGGTATGGTTGGTGTGGTGCAGTATGGTGTGGTATTGTATGGTATGGTAGTTCATATAGTAGTTCTATTTTAATTCTTTTTAGACAGTGCCGTACTGACTTCCATCATGGATATACTAGGTTTACACTCCCACCAATACTGAATATGGGGTCCTCCTTCTCCACATCCTTGCCAGCATTTATTGTCATTGTTTTCCCTTGATCATAGCCATTCTAACCGGAGTGGGATGGAATCCCAAAGTGGATTTAATTTCCATTTTCAAGGGAAGTCAAGGGAAGACTTCTAAAGGAACATTTGAAGTCATTGATGGCGATGATGATGAGCTTTCTGACTTGAGTCTGGTGAGTCTGGTTGATGCGGTCTTCAGTAGATTGTTCAGTCTTCCTCCTCCATCAAGAAGAGCTGCCAGCTTCCCAGTCAGCCCCCAGTGAATACATACTAACCAGGTGTCCTGACTTACAAGCACCACAGAGCAAACAATGGCTTTTGTAGTGGCCTCCTCGCTCCCTCACACCAGGGAAACCAGTACTGTGCAGGGGGTGAGAAAAATGCCTTGAGAAGAAGAACCAGAAAGGGTTTTCTGAAGGCACAATGTCTCTAGGTGGTCTCTACAATATGGGGAATATCCACCAAAAGAGCAAAACAAGAAGGTCGGGAGCGGGGGGGGGGGGGGGGGGGGGGGGGGGGGGGGGGGGGGGGGGGGGGGGGGGGGGGGGGGGGGGGGGGGAGTGTTTTAGAGGGCAAGGACTAGGCTGTGTGCACAGAGGGCAGTGGCTGGAATCTCACGGGTAGTTGGGGCCTCTTGGGAAGCATCACATAAGGTCTAGAAAAGGGAAAGTTAAAGTCAGCTCTTCATCACCAGGGGTTGGTAGGAGTTTCTCTGTGCCTTCTTCCTACCTCTTGGGTGTGTAGAAACTGTCCAGCAGAGGCAGAAGAACAGCCCCAAGTCCTCAATCCAAGAGATTTCCTGGGTGAGGTTTGAACAGGAAGAGAGCTCTCTTGCCAGGAATGGGTGAGGTGAAGCTGAGATCAGGGGAAAGGCTGTGGGTAGAGAACCTCTTGCCTACATTGTCTTCTAGGATTGTAAAGGGAATCTTCCATGATCAGCTCAGACCAGCCAATCTGGAGAGCTTTAGCTTGGGTGAAATTTAGGAGGTCATAGCTCACCTTCAAGAGAGTCTGCTAGTTCTCCACTCTATGACTGCGGCAGCTGGCGAGCATCTCACCAGCCTCCCCTCTAGACCTGCTCACTCCCATCCACGCTGCTTTCTATCCATTGAGAAACATGATCCTTTTGAGTTTTTAATTTCCATGTTTCTAACTCCAATAGACCTGCTTTGAAAGACACCCACTTTTCCAGGTGGCTGACATCTTTCTGTCATAGTTAATTAATTACTCACAGATTTTAGCATCCACACTCTTTCCAACTGCTCTGGCCTCTGTCTTACCTTAAATCTTACTCTATGTTATTCAAAATACATATTTCTCTTCTCATTCTGTGCTTTCTCCTGGTAATTCCATTTATCCTAGTAACAGCAGATGTTCTCTCTCTGGTATGCAGCCAGGTACATACATGTATCTGTGTGTGGCTCTGCTTGACTGTTGGAAAGGTATCTCAGGCTTAAGATTTCTACACTTAAGTTACTTTCTTTTTATCTCTTTTGATGATGTTGTTGTTGCTTAGTCTTTTGAGAACTATTGTGCCAGGTAGCCCTACGTGGTCTGGTGCTCACAGTGAGGCCCAAGCTGGCCTGGAATCCTATGGCAATCCTGCTTTGACCTCCTGCACACTGAAGTTACAGGGCTGCACCGCGCCCAGCTTGGCTCATAAATGGTTGATCTCCACTGAAGCATTCGCCAAGTTTCTGTGTCCACAATCCTTGCCTGTCTTTATGAAGAATAGCTCCACTCCCTGCATTACAGCAAGATAGAACATCTCTGTGTCATTCCAGAGATTCCTCCACACATCCAGGCTACCATCAGACCTACTGGCCCCACTCTCCACACCTGTGGTGCAGCCATTTCTGTGTATTGGTGGCTGCCATCTTGTGCTTTTTGGCTGAACTTCCCCTCCATCCTTGTTCTTCTCCCCCTCCCTCCAGTCTCTTCCCACATGGCCGGCCAAGATACATTATAAATACAGGTGTTATTACTTTCCTGCTTAAACTTTTTCTTAACTTTTGGCACAGTGGGTATACAAAGTATAAACCACTTCCCACTCGGGATTTCTGTTCTTAAAGCACGTCAGCCATATCCAAGTCTTCAGTGGAACTAACTGGACTCAGCTCAGATCTTCACTGGAGGCTGGCCTCTGTCTGAAATGCTTCTCCTGCCTACCCTGTTCTACCTAGTTCCTGCTCAATATTCAAATCTCAACTGCCCCTCAGAATCCATTATTGCCTTCACAGTTTCAATGAGGTTCTCCTGTTCTGCTCCTCCATAATGCCCTGTTCCTATACTTTACAGCAAGGGCGAGTGTAGCAGTTCAGTTAACTTGTTACATGTATCATGAAAGTGGATAGTATATCTGTTGTGTCCTCCATGAAAACTGCCGGGACCATAGATAATAGTCAGAAAGCATGTGATCTTGCTAAATATATGAGCCATTTTTAGCACTTTAAATCACCGGTGTCCCCTTCAACAGATCAAGTCTCTTCAAAATTAGCTTTACCTGTGAACCCTCAGTCTAATCCACGAAGCTCCTGACACCTGCGGAGATGCTTGACAGTAGCAGCCAGCCTCGATCCCCCATGCTTTGGTGTCCATTGTGTTCTGTTAGACTTCACTGGAAGGTCTGCTTCTCAGTATGTGCCTTGTATCTTTCACCTCCCCCACCTCCCTTCTGTGTCCTGGTCATCAAATGCTGAAGCCTCACTCTCATGTCACCTACCTGCTACAAAGTGGCACTTGGTGCCCACCCACAGAAGCTTGGCGTGGAATCCCTGGGCCCATTGCTCCACCTGAACCCCTGATTCTGCACATCCCAGGATCTGTGGGACAGGTGACATAAAGGTCATGCCTGGTTGAGTCGTGTCCCCCTTAGCCAGTGCTTGCTTTTTTGTCACAGGGTGGCTGAGAGGGTGGCCCTCACTGTTAGGCATGACTTCTTTGAGCATTTTGCTCTGCAAAACCAGAACAGCCATTTGTCAGAGGAATCTACTGAATCTCCTCCAGGCTGCTGGACCATTACCCATGATCCCTTCCCGTGACAGTCTCGTCGGGGACCCTAGTCAAGAGCATCAGGTAGAAAGCAAGCTCCAGTTCCCTGATGCGTGTCCTGCGTGCCCTTGAAGGGGAGATGGCCTAGCCCTTTTCCTCTAATCTCCTCCATCTCTGCAGAAGAGGAGCAGCAGAGGATTAACTGGTTTTATCAGCAAAGCATTAAGCTCACTGGAGATAAAGCCAACTCCCAAAGGGATAGAGAGTACACACGTGATTAGGGGAAAGGTAGAAGAAAGGAAACAAGACGTGCTTTGTGCCTGGGTGCCAGACTGTGGCTGCCTGGCCATGGTGGGAAGGCAGGAACAGGGGGAGGGTCATTTGAGGGCACTGGACCGCAGGACACAAGTGACCTTCCACTGGGCAGCAGGAGTACATGATGTCTTTTGGGGCAGGTCTGAGGAGGCATCAGGTTCCATCTTCCCAGGCTCCTTCTCTTGTCTACATTGTTGCATTAGGGAAAGTTGCCAGGGATGAGAGAGGCCACCCTTTCTGTTCGCTTAACACTAAGCAGGAAGTGGCTACAGTTTAGCAGCTGATTATTATGGATCCCTTTAAGAAGAAAAAGCAACAGGAAATAAGCAGAAGAGCATCCGGGTGAGTATTAGAGAGGGGAAGAGTGCACAGAGAGCCTGAACTCCAACAGCAGAGATACCCACGTTGTGAGAGAAGCACCCACAGAGGTATCGTGGGGTACATTGCCTCTCATTCTTTCAGGCTCAAATCAAGATGGTGTTTAAGAACAGATCCCATAGTTGTGATGGATTTTAGTACAAAGCAGGTGATGATGTGTGGGGAGAATGGTCCACACGGAAGAGTGCCTAGGTAATCTGGTGGATTTGCTTGAGAAGGGAAGGACCACAAACTAACACATGTTCTACATGTTAGAGGCCTGTGTATGTGCCACAATACTGAGCGTCTTTCATATGTAGTCTCACATAAGCCTTATCCTGAAAAGGAGGGTCTCCTAGTACAAGGTACAGGGAGAATCAGCAACCTGCCTGAGACCCGGCCAGGAAGCAAGCCTGTTGTTCCGTGGCCCTTCCTTTTCTAATGGACCACTTTGCCTTCCACGAAGGAGGTTCTCCAGACTTGCTCTGCTAAATAAAAATAATGAACTTAGTCTTGCTGTTTTTTTTTTTACTGATTTGTGCATTTCCTCAATAATTTGGAATTGAGTTCAAAGAGCGTGGTTGCAAATATCTTTGAGTCTCCATCTCATGCCCCCCCCCCCTCCCAGAGAGAAAGTTGTGGTAACAGTAAGAATCGCATCTTCATAGGAGGGTAGGAGCTCCATCCATGCCAGAGTTCATCTTCTGGGAACAGAGGTACCATCTCCGGCTCCCAGACTCCCCACAGTGGCCAGGCTGCAGAGTTTAGCTCTGGGCTTACAGCTCCCCTGTGGTCCTATGGATGACTGGGGGGAGAAGCTGGGAGAGAATGTTTTCTGGTGACTCTACCCTTAGGTATTCAGACATGTTTCTGGGTCCTACAATTCTTGGGCTATCCCTTTCATTAAGGCCCATCAGACCAGTGCTAGTGGGTGGACCCTGCTTCCAATTAAGCTCCAGGAGGCACACCAATTGGAACTAGTCACCATGCCAGCTTAAGATCTAGCTGCTGGTTCTCCAGCACAGAACCCGAGTCAGAAAACCTGGGTTCCAGCGCCAGCTCTGAGACCTTTGGCAGGATCCTCCAAATTCAGTGTCTAGTCTGCTTGTACATAAATGAGCAATCATGTCTAGAGTTAGGAATCAACTGAGATGAAAACTGTGGAAAGGGATTCCAAACTGTGTGTGGTGTGCTGTGTACACGTTAGTTTGATTATAGCTTATCCGTTCATGTTATACTAGTCGGTGACTCCAGATAAGCCTTAAGGAACTGTGGCCCTGGGCCCTTGGCAGAGAGAAAAACTTAGAGCTTTGAGGGGACCCCTGACATGGGTGTCTGCCTAGAAGTCTTCTCCAGACCTAGAGGAAGGGGGAAAGGCTCATTTTGTACTTCAAAGGCCATGTTTTCCACTCATGTTGAGAGGCAAGTGAGGAAGACACCCCCATTCCACCAAAAAGTCACTTCCCAGTTGCTCTCTAGACAGCATTCAGGACCCTGCTTTGAATTCCTGAACCTGAACCCCAAAGCTTAGCCACATCCTCAAGAGGGCCTTCGGCCCTACCCAGAAGCCTCCCTGGGTCATAGCTTCACTTACTTGTATTTAAGAAGCTACAGTGTACCCCATGCAAGTAATTAGGGACAGAGCCCCGCTTTCTGTTGCCTAAAAAGTCATGAGTTTTTCATTCTAGAGAAGAGAGAAGACAGCATTTAAAATCATTTATGTCTTCAACTATTTTTGTTTGTCATTCTTTCCAAGCCCTTTGCACAATTTCATCTGTCTATAAGGGGGTGTCCCATAATTGACCTTACAATAATCATGAAACAGATTTTGGGACAACAGTTATTCCCTATTTTAGACAAGCAAGTAGAGGCTCAGAGAGCTGCCGTAATGTGTCCAAGGTCATCTTGACAAATACTGGTGGAACCGGGCCGGGTGTGTGATCCTCCACACTCTTCCCCAGTGTCCTCCCACAAGTACACAGGAGTTGGGCTTGGGAGAAACTGTCCTCAGCACTATGTGTATGTGTGTTGCTTGTTCTCAGCTTGTTTAGAGACGTCATTTATAGTCTACGAAAACCAGAGAGCAGAAAACAGGAACATCTAAATGTGTTCAACAAATGCAACGAGGAATTTCAGGCTGTCAGAGAAACACAGAGTAAATAAGGCTGTCTGATGGTCTGATGGGCCATGAGTGGGGTGGCTGTGTCAGTCCTGCCTCTGCAGCCTCCACTGGCTTAAACCCCTGGGGCCCGACCTTTCCCAGCGGGCTTGTGAGCCTGTGTCAGGCTCCAGCACTCAAAGGCCGTCAGAGGTCTGGCTAATGGGAAACAGTAAATCGACATCCTCAGTCAGCAGCCACGGCAGCATCCTGAAGGAGCGGACAAGCCAGGGCTGCCAGGGAATGAGTGGTGCAGGGAACAGGCTCCGGCAAAGCTGAGAGCTACCAGAGACTGGAAAATTAGATCTTACCTTGCCCTCTGCCATGGGGGTAAGGAGTGAGGGGGTGTCAGGAACTGGACTGTGAGAGGAAGGAGAAGCTTCATGGGGATCAGAGATGCTGGTTCTATGAGGAAACAGGATCAGACCTGCTCTCTCTCTCTCTCTCTCTCTCTCTCTCTCTCTCTCTCTCTCTCTCTGTTTTGTTTACCATGAGAGTCATACTATGAGCCTCCATTCCAAAATGGAAAATCGATTCAAGAACTGATTGTTTTAAATGACTCAACTCTCCCAAATTTTCATGAACCATCTTCACATTGTTTAGAGAAGATAAGAGATTGGTGCCACCAAACTAAACCGAAAGCTCCTGCTGAAGAGAAGGAACTTTGGCCTTTGGAACCAGGGAGCCAGCCTTTTCTATGGACACCTGTACACTTTGAGTGATTGACAAGTATCTCCCTTGCATGTATCCCTGTGCAACCATAACCAACTTACCCAACTTAGTGATTACAGAGCCATTTGCTGAAGGCTTGCCTGGTGCCAAGTGTTTTATGCACATGGCCTCTGAAAACCATTGTTTTCCTCGGAATAAAATAATGAAATAGGAATGAAGAGGTTCAGGTGTCAGTCATGTCTAACATTGGGCAACTAGTGAAAGAGGCATAATTAGGAACAGATAAAACTAATTCTAATGACTATGATGAGCTGTTCAGAAGAGTTGAATAAATGGATGGATGGAGGGAGGGAGGGAGGGAGGGAGGGAGGGAGGGAGGGATGGATGGGTGGGTGGATAGGTGGGTGAATGGGTGGATGGATGAATGAACATTGGATGTCCTGGAAAATGTCTGATTGCTTGCTAAGGAAACCTGAGAAACAACATGTTTAAACAAATTGGTTATGCCTAGTGTTCTTGCATCCGGCTGCCTAGTTCATTCATCTGGTCAGGATCTGGTGCTGATGAGATCAAGGTCTTAGGAAGAGACCCAAGCATGTGAGCACCTGAGTCAGTACTCCTTGCTCTTCCATCTCCCTCCCCAACCAGCTCTGGTTCATAGCCAGGTTTAAACTGACAACCAGGGAAATAGCTAGAAAATATGCAAGTGGTGGTTCAGCAGAATCCTCTTTGCCTGGCCAGATGGTAGACAGCATAGTAAATTATGTACCCCAGAAGCACACCTTACAGACATGCACGCTGAAGCCCAGAGAAGAGCAGGGTCAGAGTGTGAGTGAGAACCAGGATCCAAACCCAGGTCTGTCTGATGCCATTGCTGATGTTTCCCATCCCTGGGCCTCCCCACTGCTCTTTTAGTTTGTAAGTCAGCAAACGGGTTTTTACCTTCTGATTTTACACACACACACACACACACACACACACACACCTTTGTTTGAGGAGAGTCCAGGTCAGCTGGCAGAAGCATCACCTATATCAGAGAGGAAGCAGGCAGAGCATAGGAGGAGTCAAGTCCCTTGGCAGCACAGACGGAAACTCAGATCAGCCCAAGGGATGTCTGCACAATTGCCAGGAGCAGAGACCAGCCTCGTGCCAGTGTCTGTACACAGTGATTAGCAAGCTAGAAAGGAGAGGGTCTCCCCAGAGACACCCATCACAGATGGCAGGAAATAGGAGGTCTTGGCAGCCAAGAGAGGCTGGACGTATGGAGAGACTGGGACTCAGCTGGGATGCCCAGCAACTCAGAACCCCTGTTCTCCAGCCGTCCCATAG